GAATCAAAAGAATTATTTTTAAATACTTTGAATAATAACGATACACGTTCTAAACTGAGCGATTTCTGTCAGAAAAAATTTACTTCAGCGGAAAACGCCGTTACAAGCTTCACAGAAATTCTACTGGAGGTTTCAAAAAGATCTTTAAAGATAAAACGTCATAGACAAAACAACAAAACTGTTCATGTTAAAAAAAAAACATGGTTTGATCAGCATTGTTGGTCCCTACGTCAACGATTAAAAAGACAATCGTCTATTTTGAAAAAAGATCCTTGGACACAAGAAAATAGATCAAGATATTTTAGTACTCTGAAAGAATACAAAAAAATGATAAAACAACAGAAACGTTATTATAAGATTGAGCTTTTGAAGAAATTGGAATCATTGAATGAGAAAAACCCTAAAGAATTTTGGTCATTACTAAATTACCTAGACACGGAAGTAAACGGAAAAAACAATAAGAGCTCTGTAGATCCCACCATTACAGCTGGACAATGGATAAACCATTTCCAAGACTAGTGAGAAATACGAGTTTTGACACTGCCTTTGAAAAAACGGTCTTCGATCATTTAGAATATTCACACGACTGCACACCAAATTTATTAGACTTTCATTTCACCCCACAATAAGTTTTAAACGGTTTAAGATCACTGAAATCTGGGAAGGCATGCGGCATAGACTCCATTTCAAATGCGATGCTAAAACATGGGTCAGCACAGCTATGCCAGTCGCTGGTAACATTATTCAATACAATTCTATCAAACGGCAAGTTTCCATCAAACTGGAATACAAGTATTCTCACTCCGATTTTCAAATCAGGCGACAAATCTAATGCTGACAACTACAGAGGAATCACCATCTCAAGCTGTTTATCAAAATTATTTACTCTATTATTGAATACTAGACTACAAAACTTCGTTGAAGATAAAGGCATACTAAATGATACACAGTTTGGATTTAGAAAAAAGTACTATTTATCCATCTCTCATTGACAAATACACACAAAAAAAGAAAGGTAAATTATTGGTTTGTTTCGTCGACATGAAGAAGGCTTTTGACAGTGTTTGGCGTGATGGTTTATTCTACAAACTGTCGCATTATGGTATAGGTGGAATTTTTTTCAATGTGTTGCGGTCTATGTACCTTGATGTTAATTATGCTGTTAGACTACAAAACGGATTGTCGGATCCTTTTGTTTCTACATGTGGGGTAAGACAGGGGTGCAATCTAAGTCCTTTATTATTCAACCTTTTCATTAATGACCTGCCTTCATGTTTTCATCCAAACAAATGTGACGCTGCAACTTTAACTTCTACATCACTTAACTGTTTATCTTGGGCGGACGACCTCGCCCTAATTCTGAAACTAACATTTCAATTCAATTAGCAAAAAGCCTTTTCAACAGATTTGTGAAGCCGTTTTTGCTATATGGATCCGAATTAACATGTTTCCACCAAACATCTAAAACACTAAAACTTAATGTTTCTACGCGTATTCCAGAATCCACACCAAAAAACGTTTTCTCCACTGTACTAGAGAAACTTGGTCTTGATGAAAACATTCCTGCTTCGGTTAGAAAGAGTTTAAGCTCCACTTGTGCCCATACACATGTGATTCATTTTGAAAGAAGGGCAGATAAGGACATGTTTTTTTAATCTAGCGTCTCGGCTAAAATTAGAAAACGACAACTTTTCAATTGAAAATATACATATTTCTCAACATATTCCAGAAATTGATGCCATCGATATGAACTTTCAAAAAAATTTACTTAGAGTTAATACAAAAGCATCAAATGATGGTGTTCGTGGAGAACTAGGAACCTTTCCAATAATAATAGATACTGAAATACAATTAATAAAATACTGGCATCGTTTTATAAACTTGCCCGAAGGCACCTTACTTCGTGAAGCATACGATGTTTTATATTCTGGTAAACACGATTGGCTTAACCACGTAAACGACATTCTGAATTACAATATGGTCTTGGACAATTCTGGACGAACCCCGGGTCATACCAAGTGGATACGATAACTAATCAATTACGATCCCGCCTTCAAGATATATATATAGATAAAAAATGGTACAACTCTATTAGTAACAACTTTCTGTTTATACCGCATTAAAGGAATGGACAAAAACAATACCTCTCAAGTATACACAATCTAGATATCCGAAAAGCGATCACAAAACTAAGAATTAGTTGTCATAAATTAAACATAAAAATAGGTCGATACAAGAAAATACCAAATGACCAAAGGTTCTGTCCATTTTGTCCAAACATGATTGAAAATGAGCACCATTTTATAATGGATTGTACACTATACAATGATAAGCGCCGATTGCTGTTCACCTTTCTTTCCGCTTGTTCAATTGATTTCAATATGTTAGATCCTATAGATAAATTCAACTACATTCTCAGGAGAGATAACCAATACAGTGTTCAAATAGGAAAATACATTAAAGAATGTTTTGATCTTAGAGAACACATGTTAACCTTTATTGTTACATCATACATATACTCTGTACGTAAGATGACGTTATCCACACATGTATTTAGCTTTGTTAGATCTTTAGTTAAGTTGTAGAAGACCATACAAAAGTCTCTGTACTTTTTTGTTGTGTCAATAAAGAATCTCTATCGTCAACACATGTAAGGCGCTTTCACTGATTCCGTCTGAACAGGGCCATAGACAACATCTGGTGTCACTCAGAAGGGACCGTACACTATACAACGAGCCAGGGTTTCCAGCCTTGGAGCGGGAGCGTCGCTCCTTCGCTGTTTCAGCTAGCTCGTCGTCTGTTTCAGCTCGTCGTCTGTTTCAGCCAGCTCGTCGTCTGTTTCAGCAAGCGCGTCGTCTGTTTAAGCTTGTCGCCTGTTTTAGCTCGTCGTCTGTTTCAGCTCGTCGTCTGTTTCAGCTAGCTCGTCGTCTGTTTCAGCTCGTCGTCTGTTTCAGCCAGCTCGTCGTCTGTTTCAGCAAGCTCGTCGTCTGATTAAGCTCGTCGCCTGTTTTAGCTCGTCGTCTGTTTCAGCTCGTCGTCTGTTTCAGCTAGCCCGTTGTCCGTTTAAGCAAGCCCGTCGTCTGTTTTAGCTCGTCGTCTGTTTAAGCTCGTTGTCTGTTTAAGCTTGTTGTCTGTTTTACGTTTTGTTCCTATGGTCTTTCGTACCATGCCGCTGCATGTGCAGGGCCGCAGACGAGCTTACAGCGAAGCCCGGCGTCTTCGCCCTAGGATGGGAGCGTAATGGAATCCAGGGTGACATCGAGAAAGTTCTACAGACACTGTAGCATTTAACAGTAACGTTCAATTGTATTTTTTTGCCGTAAAAGTTGACTCGCAAAAAATGTGACGCCATTTTCTTTCACTACGCCTGGTTCCCAAATTTTCGATTCGTCTTAGTCGTAGCACGTGCTAGCACGCTACTGGGGCTTTTACATTTTCAGTAGTACAAATGACGGTAAACTTTTGATTGTATTTCAACCTCGGAATTAAGCAGATTTATGCCTCATTTCTCGTAGTTTGTAACTCTTTGTGAAGTTGGCCGCCGGGGCGCCATTTTGATTGTTGTTGTCTGCACGCTTGGGTGACGCTGAATTTTGTAACTCGTCTCATTGTTTTCGAAAAAGTCTTGTAGTAGCACAAAATGAACGCCTTATCGTTTCTGTAAAAACCTCTAAATCGTAATGTAGGCTAAATTTTATAAACACCCAAGTGTAGATACTAGTAAGCTGTGAAATTTCAAAGCTTTTTACTGTGGTACGTCATATACATGACTGTATAAAAATCAAATACATGTACTTCCTATGCAATAAATATTTTATTTCTGGAAGTACATCAATGTTTTGCTTGTCCATGTGTCAACCACTAGTACTATACTTTTGTGTGCATGTTGTAGTCAAGAAAGGATGAGTAAAAATATACATGTACTAAAGTACTTTGATGATGATGCAATAATGGTTTATAATACATAATACTAGTAATATGATAATACTTGTAAACTGCCATATCTTTGTGATGTCTTGGTCGTTGATCTGATTTTCTTCAAATAGACCACCTGCTCAAGTAGGCCAAATTTGAGTGGTCCCCTGGGTGGTCTACTTGGCCAGGTTTGACTGTACATAATTCAAAATGTATCCAAACTTCTGGTGTGCCTGATATGCCAGTTGGAAAAGTTCTGTGTACAAGAAGCCACACCAGTGATACTTATGCTTATACATTCGGTCTAGATCTATATAGCAAGGTCCTTCTTACTTCCTACACGAGTCGAACCGCGAGCTGGCGACCTGTTTTACCCTGGTTGCCAATGGTTTTAGCCAATAACGGGCTGGTCGGTTAAACCAATGCTCTGTCCAGTGGGTGTTTAACGCACCTTGACTCGTCACTTACTACCTCAACTCACTACACCTAAGATATAACATAACTTGATACTACTGTTATGAATACAGTAGGTGCCAGTAAACAATCTCTATTAGGGTGGGCGGGACCGGGGAAATCTCTGACCACTGATACTCTGCCACAGTGTTGGTGGCCTCAGGCTCAGGACAAGTGATTCACTTTCACTCTCCTTCCCCTTATATCTCTTTCCTTGAGGGAGGCGTACCTGGTACTGCCTCCCTTGACAATACTGAACTGCCCATTCTATGAGTCGCATCCTGTCATCAGTATTACTTTCATTCCTTCTACTTTCTGGGAAAGCTGACCCCTCGACTCACTGACCACTTCCTGTTACCAAGGACATTCCCTCATGGCTGGACATTGGGTTGCTGGGTTTCAGACAATTAACCCAGCTTAATAACTGTATGAGTTACTAAGCTTCCATTGGTTAGCTGCAAACTTATTTTTCTCAGAGATTAGAGCTGTTTACTTAGACAGTGACACAAGTTATAACCTGGTTGCAAATGTGTAATCTGTCTATGTTATATGGTAATGGTTGTTATCACAATAATGTTTTGGTATATATATAAGCTTTCTTATAAGTGATTTTTAAAAACATTTTGCTTCAGGAAAAGAATATCAGCAGAGCAAAGAAAGGAGATCTAAAAGTTAGCATCCATAAAATGGAGGTAAGGCAATCAGGCAGTTACAATGCTGTTGTTGTTGGATACTACTTAAACTTACAGTTAAACACAATTGTTTTGTAAGTACAAAAAAATGTAACAGCATCAGTAGTTACAAATGTAGGTGTAGAAAATTAGAGACAAACTTCTATTTGTCAAGATATGTATCAGACTTGATGTACAGGGCTCAAAATTCATTTTTGAAAATAGGTGCAGTGGTGCACCTATTCTCAAAAAATTGGGTGCACAGAAAATATCTTGGGTGCACCATATAAGATAGAATAAAAATGTCAGCAAAAACTAATTATGTTTTTATGTTTTATTTCTTAAGAAAGTGTTATAACGATGATTTTATTATTTTTCTAACACTCAGATGTTAAGAATATCCTGTATAAAGTACTACAATACATTAAACATCATACATAAACCTACGAAAATATTTGCGTGCACTGGTGCACCCACATAAAATAATTGGGTGAAAAGCTCCAAATTTGGGTGCACTAAGGTTGCACATGCACCCAGTATTTCGAGCCCTGCATGTAGCTATGGGCTTAAAAAAAATAAGCTATAAGTCAATACTGTATTCAGATATTGTTTTGGGTGGTTGAGCTGATAAATTTGTCTGGTCTCCTGTCCAGAGTAGGTTGTCAGCACTTGGGTGGGTGAAAATGAGAGAAGGTCAAAGGTCTTAGAATCTGGCCAGGAGCCAGCAAGGGAATCCACATGGAAGTCTGACATGTCTGATTTCTTGTTTATTTTAGATTGACAGGATCAGGTATGTGCTGGCCAGCTACCTCAGGATACGTCTGGAAAAGGTAAGATAAACTTCTACCCTCAAAAACTGAACTTTATGACATGAAAATACAGGCAACCACAGGGGTCTGTATTTGAGAATGGGATTTTTGCTACCTGAGGATAGAATTACTCCAGAAAACAGTTACTCAAGCAACCGGGTAGATTTTAAAATTTTTTTCAGGAGTAACTCATTACCTTGATGTCTAACCTTTATCCACACATGGAGAAAATTGTGGGAATAATCATTTGTTCTATGATTGCAGATTGAGAAGTTTGTTCACCATTTGTTGGAAGAAGAAGCAGAGCTGGGAGAGGATGTTCCCTCCAGAATGTCACCAGAAGAACTACAACATGCTAAAAAGTATGTATGCTCTCTCAACCATGCAAGACTATTTTGTAAGGTTCCGGTTTAAAATTACTGTAACTTCATTGGATGACAAAGTAATGAAAAAAAAGTCTCGAACCATACATTTTCTCCATAATTTTAGCTCATTCTAGTTCTCAGTACCACTCCATCCTCATTTAAATGTTGCAAACATGTCTTAATAAAGACTTGCTTACAGTGAGCGACCACAGCACACCACAGCTGCACTCAGAACTTTTTGATAGCTTATTGTGTTGGTTACAGTTTACACTTTTAAAGAAAAATATCATGTACATTTGTAATATGATAATATCAAGTGTAGAAATCTCTATGTAATGATGTTGTTAATGCTATGTGTATGAAATGACAAAGTTGAAATGTTCCTTTTATTCTAGTTTTGCAGCAAACATGGAAACTTTGTTCAACGATGTTGTACTGAGACACATGCCTCGCAACTTAAAGAAACTGGAAGGGTCCAAAGTTGGTAAGTGAACCTTTTCTACACTTATTCTGTTTTTTTTTTTGTGTGTGTGTTTTCAAAGATTGCCTTGAAAGGTTATTATATTTCACTCCATACTACATGTATGGGAATGAAACATATTGTTTTTCCTAATGTTTCTTGTTTTCCTTCTTCTGCCATTTGTTAAAATTTGTTATGCAGCCAAGAGTCCGAACCAGGACAGCTACGTGTTCCTCCGGGTGCAGGAACAGGTGGATCAGGTGATGGTGGACGCAGCCGCGGATCAAGGGTAAGGCAGCTGTTTTCAAAGGTTTTGGCACCTGTTCACATTTAAAGTGTTAATACCAGTAGCCATTTTGTATCTTTATTTTTGGATAAATGGGTGACAAGTATGCAGTGATATTGTGTTGATGTTTCAGAAATATAGCCAGGTTATCTGTAGGCCTGTTGCAGTATAGTATGGCACAGTGCTTCCGTCAGCCCTGGTTCATGAATGCATTTAAAAATTGTGTGTGTGTTTGGTATTTGGTGGCCTTTCAGTGTTGAATCATTATCTGATCAACACATCAAATCATATAATATTCAACACACTAAGTAATATTTCTCAGGGCTCTTGCATGTGTTTCAGGTTAATATTCAAATGCCAGTCATTTCTCTGTACCAGACTATTGGCCAGGAAGCAATTTGAGCAAACCAGAGATGAAATAAAAATTTCATACACACCAGGCTTATGGAAATATTGACTGGTTAATGTTTTGTTTGAGTTTTTCGATGATAGAAAAACAGCAGGTAATATTGTGTTTATTTATTATTATTGCAGGGATGAAGCTATAGATCTGGAGAAGGGTTCACAACACATCATGCGCTACAGAGTGGTGGCACCACTTATAACCAATGATGCTGTCACCCTCATATAACTGCTGCACCAGATCCAACAAATTTACTATTGAAAGTCCATTTGTTGTCTCCTTAGTGTCTTGTAGCTATCAAAAAAAAACAACGTATCATTATATATATATATTTTCAAACAGATGCCATTGAACTGAAGCGATGAATTCGTGTATGTTATGTAAACAAAGCATTTTCAAAATGTTACAGATTAGGATATTTGTAATAGGATATAAAGTATTTAATTTGTAAAAAAAAAGTATGGGCTCAATGGGATTTGCTTCATTTTTGGTACTGGCATTTTTACTATTTGTATTCTTTCACCCCCATACAAGAGTGACTATATATTTAATGCCATGGTATGAAGGGAAATAAGGCTTTTTTGTAGTGGTTTAAGTTGTGAAACCGCAAAAATAAAACCACCCCAAAGATTTAAAGTAGATGTACATTACATTAAACGAGATGTCACACTATGAAACAACACAGAAACTGATATGTTACTGACTTTCCCTTGTTGTTTTGTAATTCTTCATTCCATTCCAAATGTATGTATAGACTACATTGTTGTATCTTGTAATTACAATGTACGGTAAGTAGTTTTTACAAATAAAATACTGACATCACCACTCACAGAAGTTTCTTTGTCCATACACAAAATGTATCAAAAGCAAAGGGGCTTGCTTGAACTGAACACACTACCGTCGTTTCTGTAAGTCATTTTTTCCACAAAGGTGTAGATAACAGTAATAATTAAGATTTTGAGGGACAATCTAATGATCTGCCCCCAGTGTAGTACTGTTGTACTTCATATTTGCCTTCAAAATCATAGTCTGTACCTTCTAAAAAACATGTACTTGCTCTGAAAATCGTCTGTACTTTCTAAGAAATGTGTAAGCCTTTTCACAGTTTCACATGCACATGGAGTCAGGATGCCAAGTCTAACTCTAAGGCTCCTGGTTTGACAAACCATTTTTTGTCTACAAAAAGTACATGTACAAGCCAGAGGCCTTAACTTTGGTCTTATATCGCACATGGCTCAATGGATTACAATGTGTACTGTGCTTTGTAATATTACTTCAATGTAAGACATTCTCCAACAAATGGGGACATATTTCCCTTCTTAGAATCATGGGGCATGTGAGATATTGACTTGAGTTCAAACCAAGGAATTTCTACAGCCATGTACACACAAGACAGTTGAATTGGTCTAAAGGCACTACCAAATATTTCACAAGATTTAAGCAAAATATCCCCCACAGAAACCTATGATCTTGACTGATAACAATCCTATAGGGGGAGGGGGAGACGTGTAACTTTGTTGAACTCCTCTCTACAATCCAAGTTTCTGCATTTCCTGTTGGAGAAAGAAAGACTTGTGAAAAGATGAAAATTACAAATAGTAGTATTGAATTCATTTGAACACATGAAGAAAGTGAAACAGAACAGATATGAAAAGTGGTAAACAGGATCTGGCCCACTAAATGTTGCAAAGAAACAGGTGTAAAATACCAAGAATGAACCATATCCTTGCATCTGCTTGGAAATTAGAATGTGCAATGTACACTAGCAGTACCCAGATTTTATAAAAAAAACTTTTGTTGTTTTCCATTGAATCTGCTTCACTGAATCACTGACAATAAGCCGTCTCACAGTTTCCAGTGTGCATGTGTGCAAGTTGCACTGTGGGCTAAGGTCAAAGTTTACTTCACTTTGTTTTGCAACATTTTCACATGTACATTTGTTCTTCTAAGGCCACACCAATTTAATTTCTTGGTTAACGGATTTTTCTAGAAAAATAATGGAGCGGGCGGGCGAAAAAAATAAAAATAAAAACAGGCCTAGGCATCCTATTATGGCCCAAAATGGTACGGTAGGAGCCATGAAGTCAACACACCAGGCTGGTTCAAAATTTTAACAATGAATTTTGAACTTTTAATGATACCACTGCATTGAAAGATGGAATGACTGTAACAAGTAGTAAGAAAAGGACCATTTTCAACTGTTCAGGGCAAAATATGAGCATTTTGCAGTTGATTCTAAATTTTTATTTTTATTTACAAACCAGAAAAAAATGAAGCGGGCGAATCCGTTAACCAAGAAATTAAATTGGTGTGGCCTAAGGGGCCAGAGTCACTTGCACACAACCCCCTTCAGTGCATGAACTGTGAGACGACTTATTATCTGTTACCTTGAAACCAGACAGTGAAAAGCAGGGTGTCAAGTTCAGATAGAAGACGCGGCGGGTCGTCCAGATATCAGCTGAGAGAGAGGGATGTATTACAGGAGAAAGAAAAGGACAGAAAGAAAGAAAAGTACGTCATAATCAAACTAATGCCAAAAGCAATAAAACTTCAATAAAACAAGTCATTCTGGTAAAACTGCACCCAATTTATACTAGTAAGATACTGTATACTGAAACAAAAAAAAGTTTGTTGTGACATGCAACATGATTTTGCAGTTGATGTAATGGGCAGGTCACACCAATTTTTGGAGATGTCAAAAAAAAAAAAACAACTAGGAAGATACAAACTTTCTTTAACTTTTCCATGTCAAAATATGAACATCTAGCACTCAATTCATGACTCAAAGTCTGGTCAAACTTCCCCCAAACTTCAGCCTACCTTGGTCCCAAGCTAGTGGCTGTTGTTTGGGGGAAGGTTCTGAATGTTTGACAGGGTTTTTACCTGTAACATGGTTGTTCCCATCTGGGCTGGTGACATGGTGACCTCCACGCCGGCCTCCTGCAGAGCCTGGATCTTGTCCTGAGCTGCTCCCTTCCCGCCGGAGATGATGGCACCTGCATGGCCCATCCTCCTGCCAGGGGGCGCTGTCACACCAGCAATGAAGGACACAACAGGCTTCTTGTTGGGACCCTGGTGTGACGAGAAGATGGGGTTGGGGGAAAAATTTTACTAGTGTAAGTTCCAAATACCTTTACCTATGGTGGGTACAGATGGTTCAAACTTTAAAGCGGGGCTTTAACTGCTTTATAAATGCATGATTATGCACGCACATGTGTTCTATTGTCTTTTGAACATGTAATTACATGTAATGACAACTTTTGATAAAAAATTAGACAGAGTAGACACAGAGATGGCAGACTTCACCAATGCTCCTTTGGCACACATTCGGATGTGCATTGTGTATTCATTAATTATGTAGAAACTAGAACTATAAGTGTGTACACATGCGTACACACACAGTGACACACATACAAACATTGACAGCCACTCAAAAATACATACACATACACATACATGTACACACCCTAAGGAACATGCCAAAAACAATCCTTCCCTTCTTTAAGTCTAGATATAGAGGGTATAGTTTCTTTACTCACAGTGTTGCATTCTTTAAGTCTAACTACAGAAGTTTACGTTTCTTTACTCACAGTGTTGTGTTCTTTAAGTCTACTCTAACTACAGAAGTTTACGTTTCTTTACTCACAGTGTTGCGTTCTTTAAGTCTAGCTACAGAAGTTTACGTTTCTTTACTCACAGTGTTGCGTTCTTTAAGTCTAGCTACAGAAGTTTACGTTTCTTTACTCACAGTGTTGTGTTCTTTAAGTCTAGCTACAGAAGTTTACGTTTCTTTACTCACAGTGTTGCGTTCTTTAAGTCTAGCTACAGAAGTTTACGTTTCTTTACTCACAGTGTTGTGTTCTTTAAGATAGTCTGCTGCTGACTCCTCCATGCTGCCCCCGATCTCCCCGATCATGACGATGCCCTTGGTGTCAGGGTCTGCCAGAAACGTCTCCAGACAGTCCACAAAGTTGGTGCCGTTAAAGGGATCGCCTCCGATACCTGATAACACAATAAGGAAGTTCACAGTCACAGATGGCAGACTTAATACTGGTTTGGAACCCTTCCAGAGACAATAATATCAGCACTGAGTACTGTAAATCACTTAATATCAAAGGTAGCAAAATTTTGCAGTCTGAGAAAAATGGACATGATAGTAGAACTACGATACAGTCGCGACGGCAGCAAGTGCAGAAGAAAGTTGGTGAATTATTTCTTCGTGATGATGATAAGTTTGCGGTACAGAAGTGACTGCGAAGATCACTAAAAGTACCGCAAATATAATGTGATGTACAGTATCACTATGTATGGCAATGTTGCATTGTGGGAATGGTAGAAACACACTGACAGATGTGCATACAAACATACAGACATATATATGCATAAACAAGTCTTCATGCCCTTAGGCCTAACAAAATAAATGTTGTGTTTCCTATTACAGTCCAGAAAAAATTAGGGTCGGTAGGTAGGGATTCACTTTTTTTTTTTTTTTTTTTA